AAACTACTAGGGGAGGGAGGGGCACACCTCATCAACAAGGGTACCTGCATAATCAGTGTTTGTATACCTAACCCTGAATTGTACCCCACATATTTAAAATTTAAAAAATTTTAAAAAAAGAAATGCTTTTCTCTGTGTGTGGAATTTTTTAAAAAACTTGTTCATATGCATTGATACTAAATTTGGATTCTTTTTTTAAATTTATATTGTTTATGCTTTAGTCGTTCTGAGTTCTGCCTTATAACAACAAAGATATTTATGTTGCCTCTTCATTCTCTATCCTTTATCTTCTGTAACCATTTTTACCCTTGTTTACAAACTGTATTATACAACAACTTTTCATGCTTGCTTTCAGTACTACAAATTTAAAAACACAACTTATTTTATTTTCTCTCTAATAATAGATTTAAATTTTTATTATGCTTTTATTTTCTTAATTGAGCTTTCTTTTACTCATTTATTATTGTTTGACCACATTCTGCTATTTTGTCATCTCATCTTCAACTGTGGTCATCCAGCACATTTCTGTCACTACTTTTTTCTCCTATTTTATAGATCACAGAAAAATTATATCCATTTTTGAATGATTCTATAAACAGGCTATTTTTAATCTTGCAGAAGCCATTTTATATATCTCTGGTCATTTTTTTGTTCTCCTTCATGGTATTTTCTCTTATTTATTAGGACATTTTAATAGGATCAATATCATTATTATTCATGGTGATGTTGATTTCCTGCTTTATTCATCTTCAGTCAGAGTTAAATCTGTCTATTCTAAGTGTTTTGCAGAAAAAAAAAAAAACAAAAAACCATGGAGAATGAAATTTCTTTGTTTTCTTTCTCTTTCATCCCTCTCGGAAATGAAGGACAGAGTAAATATACGTGTTCTCAAAGTAATTGTTAGTTTCTAGAAAAGTCTGATCACTCTCTCTCCTCACCTGAGGGAACATTTTTCTATTATCATAGTGGCTTGTTCTCTGTCCCACAGACAATTTACAGTGCACAATTCCCAGAAGTTTTTAAAATCAGGGTCGATCCTACTTGTACTCCAATTATGATAATTATTAGTGAAGATTTATGGACTACATTTATCAGTATACACCCTTATATGTTTATCTCTCTTTTAGCACAACTTTCTACTTTATTTTCTTTTTTCTATCATAATCAATATTTTTTATTATGGTTTTGTGGAGTACAGTTAAGGGTTAGGTGTACAATTATGTTTCAGGCACCCTGTTGATAAGAGGTGTTTCCCCATCCCGACAGATATTTGCTCTCCCCCAGTATGCTGAAGGTGGGCATGTATATTTGCCTTTGCTAGTGTGAAGGCTTAAAAGAGATGCATAAAATACCATGGCATGCATTGGGTATTTTTACTACACCTGAAGAAAATAATTGATTATGTAGAGAATGACAATCACCAGAAAATTTCCTTACGTATGTTTACATCTTTTTTGATTCATTTATAGCGATATATGTTGCACTGATAATTCCTCAAATTATTAATAATTTTTTTCTTTTTCTTTGGGTTGGCTGGCATATATATTTCAGTTTCTATTCAAAGATGGTGCAGTAATCCCAGATTCTAGGCTTCATGCTCTGTTCAATCTTTACCCATAAGCATAGACATAAACATCATTGAAGGCATATGATCAGGTAGAATCTCAGTATAGTCTATAGGCTATAACTTTCACTTCCTACTTTTTTCTATAATTTCACTGGTTAGTTCTAAAATCTTGGTTTTACTTTCTATACTTTCAGACATTTATTTAATCCAGTATTTCTATGTGTTTGATGTGTTGAGGGAATGTACATTCCTTTTCATATTCAAACCTTCGTCCTGACTGGAAGCTCCTCACCCCACCAAATACCAACTGAGCACAATCTAGTAACACCTTAAATTATACTAGCATTTTTATCATAAAATAATTTTAGGAAACTCCATATAATATCTCACAGTGTCAAAATTCTATCAGGAGAATAGTATACTCTTCTAATTACTTTTAATTATGTACTTAAATATTTATAAATGTGTATTTTTACAGATACCATTTGTAGTATAAGGTTTAGATTGACAATACAATTTAAAAAACTAAAAAAAGTTTTAATCAAGCTAGATTTTCTTAGTGATATAGAAATCCAGGGCGTGAAATTGGCACACACAGTATCTTCACACTTCTTTGGGGCTCTACTGTGACCTAAATATAGTTTCTTGGCTGCTTCATCTTTTGCTTCACAAGACATGGCCTAGATACAGGTGACAAGGCTATCCTTTGTGCATGATTCCTTCATAATAAAAACTTTGAGCTATCAACATCTCTCTGAAGTCAAATTATAGAAGATTTTTGATTGTGTTGACTGAGCTTGAAAAAATATTGATATCAAAAGTACTTTTGTCATTTACTTCCTTAAATTACTTAAACTTGGCTTTAAAAATATGTGTCTAATCAAATCATTGATATGTATGTTACTTCTTTGATAATAGTGAGAAGAGTTTGTATTTAGTAGAGAATATTACAAGATTTTGATGATACTTTGGGTATAAACAGAGTTTATTCTGGAGTTAAGAGACAAAAAGCAACACATATTTGGGAAATAATATTCTTTATAGTACTATTAGATTCCTGTAATGTAGGTCAGGAAATAACAATAACTAGAGTCTCCAGAATACAGTTGGTGCTTGACTAGAGCATAAGAGTAGACAAGAGGCAGAGTGAAGACTTCGACTAAAGGTTAGATTATTGGCATATGATAGCACATAGCACTGAAGATACTAAACCAGGTCACAGGAAACTGATTCCTAATAAAGGTTTGCAATAGCCAACAGCTTCACACGGTGGGTTACATTCCTTCGTCTTATCTCTTCATTTTTGCTACACCTTATCTCCTCTTCTCCCTTGTATATGTCCACCCATCATCCCTATCACCTTTTGCTCCTCTTTCTCTGGTAGCCAGTGATGCTGAGTCCTTCTCATAATTCTTTCTTTCTGAACACATACCTCCCAGGTGGGGACAGCAATTGGTAAATTCTGTGAAGGTAGCCAAAAGCAAGGGTTTGTAGGTTTTGCTGGTAAATCTTCTCTATTTTCTACCATCACTTGGCAATAATTTCTGAAACATATTCTATATGTATCCTTCAAAAACTTCCAGAACTTCCCTTGAGGATTTGTTTGCTCTAAGTTTCCATGGCTCTATTCCTTTGCTTAATCTCCCTATCTTTCACTTAGCTCATATTGATATAAATATATGAATATTATTATTCTTGATAATAGGAAGTTAAAACAACTTATATAGATATGAGATAGTTTACATAGCTGAAACAACTGTGCAAAATTATGCAGTGAAAATAATAGTGGGAGTGAATAGTCACTAAAACAAGTTTTAAGGTCTTTTGCCTCAGACTCTAAGACTTTTTAAATGGCTTTTCCTTAAGAATAGGTCTTCAGAGAACCAGGAAATATCTACTTTTTTTCCTGATCTACACCCATCTGAGATATGTTCAGCATTAAAGATACATTAGAAATGTATGCAATGGGATGCTTGCAGCGGCTCATGGCTGTGATCACAGCATTTTGAGAGGCCAAGGTGGAGGATTGCTTGAACCCAGAAGTTTGAGACCAGCCTAGGCAACATAAAGAAAACTCGTCTCTACAAAAACTCAATAATTAGCTGGGCCTGTAGTCCCAGCTTCTCTGGAGACTGAGGTGGAAAGATTGCCTGAGCCTAGGAGTTCGAGGCTGAAGTGAGCCATGATTGTGTGACTGCGCTTCAACCTGGATGACAGAGTGAGTCCCTGTTCAAAAAAGGAAAAACAAAAACAAAATAACAACAACAACAAAAGAAATCTATGCAACATAATTGTTCCAAACATCCTTCAAATTACAATAATGTGGAACTCTTTTTAAAACTCCTTAAATTCAGAAGACTTTTTAAAATTTAAATAATTAATTTCCATTATTGATGAGTTGTACAAAAATACTTCTGTTGATATTTTAGCCAATAGTCAATGAATATTGCTTTCTGTAATGAGACCAATATGTTTTAATTTTAGATTTCAGTACTTTCTAAAATATTCTTTGACTTTCTTTATTTTTGAATATTAATTAATGAATCTATTTCGTACCTAGGATATTTTTTCCTTAAAAAATAACTTGATCACCCCTTCCCGGATTTGCTTGGTCTTCATTCCATAAACAATGGGATTCAGAGTGGTAGGAAACATTAGATAGAGATTGGCAACAATGATATGGACATGGTGGGGAATACTTTCCCCCCCAAAACGGTGAGTAAAAATAGTGAATAATGTTGGAACATATGTAATAACAATAGCACATATGTGGGAAGTACAGGTACTGAAGGCCTTGTAATGGGCATCTGCTGATGACAAACTCACCACTGCCTGCAAGATCATAGTATAAGACACAGCGATACAAACCATATCAAAGCCTCCAATCATAAGGGCTGCCAAAAGGCCATAGATAGCATTGACTTTGAAATTTCTACAGGATAACTTGGTCACAGACATGGTGTGGGGGATAAAGTTCCCCCGGCAATAAGGCAGGCGCTTGGTGAGGAAAGTGAATGGGAGGATGAGAATGACACTTCTCAAGAAGGTGGCAAGACCGACCTTGGCGATGACAGAGTTGGTGAGGATGGTAGCATAGCGTAAGGGGTAGCAGATGGCCACATAGCGGTCCAAGGCCATAAGCATGAGCACCCCCGACTCCATCCCAGTCAACATATGGACAAAAAAACATCTGGACCAGGAAAGTATTAAAGTCGATCTCCTTGAGGTTGAACCAGAATATGCACAGCATATTAGGAACGGTGGTGGTGCATAAGATGACGTCAGTGAAGGAGATCAGGGCCAGGAAGTAGTACATGGGCTGGTGAAGGGCCTCCTCATGGCTGACGAGGTAGATGAGCCCACAGTTTCCCACTACAGCAACAATATACATGAAGCAGAATGGCAGGGAAATCCAGATGTGTGCAGCTTCCAGGCCAGGAACACCATTCAAGATAAAGAATCCTGTGGTCAGGCTGGAGCTGTTGGCCCCAGACACGATGACTGACAGGAGGAAGTCATTTTACACCCTTTTACAGCAATTGCTTTCTGCCTAGGAAAAGGGGAGTAACAGGGTTAGAGACAGATATGAAGGACTAGTTTGGACAATATAGCCCACAGATGCCATGAAAGTTCACTTTTTTTGATCACCATGATACTCTCAACTCTAGCAAGTGAGACTTTGAACTGGGATGTTTAAAAGTCATTAAACTGAGCAATCACACTACTCAACATTCCATCACAAACTTTTTCTGAGATTATCCTAACTTTGCACACCTCTCTACCAATTTTAATAACAAATTGTGAGCTAGGCTATATATGTCTTCTTCCTTCCATTAAGCCATTTCTATTCTTTCTTCTCAGATGATTTCCATGCTAGCTGTACTTGAATCTTATAACTAAAATTACGTGGATTTATATTCACAGGATCATCCTACTCTGAACCAATCATCAGTACACAATAGCACAATCTCTTTGGTTTACCATTTCTTATAGGGGCAGTAGGAAAAATTGAATGGTATTTGGAGGAATTCACAAATTCTGGGGTATCTGAGAAATTTGAAGGTTACTAATGATTTTAAAATGTAAGAAATATACATTTTTAAGCTTGAAAAAAAGAAAATGGTCTCTAAATTCTGGACTAGACCCCATGCAGGAAAGCCAGTGTCAAACATTCCTCAACATCTGGCAGCACTAAATAAATATTTGCAGTTTGATGGCATGAATTACGTGTCTATGAAGCCACAAATATAGCTTCCCGTTGCCTAAACGTTTTAGAAATCACTATCCGGGCTTGGTGGCTCAGCCTGTAATCCTGCACCTTTGGGAGGCTGAGGTAAGTGGATTGCCTGAGCCCGCGGGTTTGAGACCCGCCTGGGCAGCGAGACCTAATCTCTACAATAAATCAAAAAAGTCAGCTGGGCGTGGTAGCGCATGCCTGTAATTCCAGCTACTCGGAAGGCTGAGGCGGAAGGATCGCCGGAGTCCAGCAGGTCGAGGCTTTGGTGGCCGGGAGCGGCCACTGCACTCCAGTCTGGGCGACAGAGTGAGACTCCAACTCAAAAAAAAAAAAAAAAAATCACTGCTGTTGTCAAGTCCACTGCTCAGAGTACACAGACGTTATCAAAGGGACAGTAAAATTCAAAATAAATACACATTTCAAAGGCTCATGTTCTCTGGCTACTACCTGACTGGATCTCATATAAATGATGCTTTTCTATAAAGACGTTCTCACAATACCTCTCCAGAGATAGCACTATATGGGGGCACCATCATTTCAAAGTCCTAGATGAGAGAAACTTAGAGATTAAAATTTCTGGTGTCCACTATCTTTTATGTGTATACCATTATAAAATAAATGGGATAAAAGGAAAATGAGACCAAGTTTAATGGAAATCACCCAGAAAGAAAAAAAGAGCCATTACCTGTTAAGAGGTGAAAAGGCCTCTTACTAATATTGTCATTTGTCAACTGTCCCTATATTCCAAGCTGTTGCATTCTTGGTCAACAATGCTTTTGTATTTTTCTGAAATAGATATTTCAGAATAGAAATTGTTCAAACTCACCTCAGTGATACGTATAATCAAATCTCTATGCTAACGGAGAATCTTCAGGAGTTTTTTGAAATCTGAGATTATGTCTTCTTACATAAGATTTTTAGTTTCCCTGGGGAATATTTGGAAAGATGTCCCAGACTGCAATTAGGTGCATCAGAGGATTTTGTCTGGAAAGGAATGAACTTTGGGTCTGGAGGAAATAGATCTATATTTAGCCCTTCGGGTAGAAAAATACAGAGAAACAAAAACAAAACAAAAATGCATTAAAGCCTGATGCCATTTTCCAAATGGTAAATGTGGCATATTTGGTAGTGATGAGCATAATTTTTACAATTTTTTATCTTATTACAAAAGAAATATTTGTTTAATGTAGAAAATATGGACACTATAGAAAAGTATAAAGAGTTGGAAAATCACTTGTAATCCTAACACAGAGGAATAGCCACTCTAAAAAGTTTTCTGTATTTTATTTATTAATTTTATAATTATTGAGTATAGTATTGAGAGTTTAAAAATAAATTTTAGATAAGGGGATTGTATACACTGTTTCTCTAGTATTATTTTATAAACATTTTGTTAATGCTATGCATGCTATCAAATAAAAAATTCAACAAATAAAAACTTCTTTCTATCCAATAGTTGTACCAAATTTAATTACACATTGCCTTACTCCTGACTGTTTCTAACTCTATCAAAGATAATTTCTCTGTGAATATCCCTATACACTCTGTTTGCATTACTGATTTTTCCTCTTCACAGATAATAGGAAATCGTATTAAAGTGCATAAAGCCAAAAAGCAAGGGCAATTTTAATTATTTCAGTAAATATTTAAAAAATCAATAAAGTTTATGGTGATTTTTGCTTCCATGCAAAGTGAGTTGACTATAAGTTTGGACTATTATATGCTCTCTTCCCCAGCTGCACTAGTGAGAGAACTCTCTCTTGGTATTTAAAATTGAATTAAAATTAACTTCATTATCACTAATTATGAACATTTTTCAAGTGTTTTTAGTCAATTTTTTCCTCATACATTGATTATTTAAACCCCTCTTCTGATCATATTCTGTGGAGCTATTAGTATTTATTTATTGATCGTTAGTCACTTTCAAAACTAAAATGGAAACTTATTTTCTGTTGTATTTACAAATATCTTTCCAAATTAGTGTTTGCTTTAAATTTTATGTTATGGTAAAAAGTGATTATATTTATGAATCTTTCCTCCCTTTTCCTAAGAAACCAAAATGAAACATAAAATGCAATTTTTCTATACTTAAACTATTTTGTATAATGGTATGAAGTAGAATTTAGAGTTGCATCTCACATCTTATCTTACTTCTCAGAAGGTCTAAAGTCTATTAAAGACTAAAGTCTGATGTATGCTTTACAGGAAGTTTCTTTTATAAGCACTTAAATTTAAAGTATGACTTGCTGTTTAGCTTTTTTACTTTTTAAAAATCTATTTGGTTTTTAACAGATTTAGAAGGTACAAGTGCAATTCTGTTTCATGAATATATTGTATAGTGGTGAAGTCTAGGCTTTTAGTGTAACCATCAGACAGATAGCGGACATTGTATCTATTAGGTAATTAATCATCCCTCACTCCTCTCTGACCCTCCCACGTTTCCCAGTCTGCAATACCTATAATTTAATGTTTGGTTTAACTTTTAGTGTTAGCAATATTACATAAATATTATAAATTATAAAGATTACCAAAGTAACTACTTAGAAAGTCAACTTTCATTTAAATAAAACATGCAGTTTGGTTAAAAAAACAATAGAATACACGCACAATTATTTTGACAAAATGTAAATAAATGCAGCTATTAAAAAAATACAGGAGGGTCTCAGTGTAAATTCTTTCCTTTTAGATCTAAAAACTTGGGAAAATGAAAATTGATATAAAATGTTGGTGCCCTAACATGACACCATGACCCTTGAACTGTTTATACTCAACTGCATCAAGACCACCTAGGAAGCTTTTTAAAAGATAGTTAATAGGATGCTCTATAATCTATCACTTTTGCTCATAAATATTTATATTAAATTTGGCATAGGCATTGACAGACCTGATTTATTTTTTCTAGTTTTTATGTGATAAAATACACATAAAAAACTTACTATTTTAATCATTTTAAATATGCAAATCAATGGTATTAAATGCATTCACAATGTCATGCAACAAACACCATTATTCATTTCCTGCACTCTTTTCTCTTATAAAACTGAAACTCTACACTCATTGAATAACTCTTCTCTTCTCCTCCCCCAGTCTCTGGCAACCATCATTCTTTTTTTCTATCTAGGATTTTGGCTATTCTAAATACCTCATGCAAGTGAGATCTTTCGATATTTGTCTTTTATTACAGGCTTTTTTATTTAGCATAATGCCCTCAAGTTTCATCTATGTTGTAGCTTATATTAGAATTTTCTTTCTTCTTAAGGGTGAATATACCATATTTTGCTTATCCATTCATCCATTGATGGACACTTAGGTTTTTCCATATCTTGGCAATTGTTATAATGCTTCAATAAATGTGGGACTACAAATACCTCTTTGACATACTTATTTCAGTTCCTTTGGGTATTTTACCCAGTAGTGAGATTGCTAGATAATATGGCAGTTCCCTTTTTATTTTTGGGGGGGATGTTTCATGCTATTTTCTACAGCAACAATACCATGCTACAATCCTACCAAAAGTGACACATGTTCCAATTACTCTGCATCCTCACCTACACTTATTATTTTCTGTTTATTTTTAATAGTGACCATCCAAATGAGTATAAAAATATGACATTTCATTGAGGCTTTAATTTACATTTCCCTAATGCTTATTGATGTCAAGCCTCTCTTATGCACTAACCATTTGTATATCTTTGGAGAAATAGCTATTTGAGTTCTCTGCCCATTTCTTTTTACTTTTTTATCTTTAATTTAATTTACTTTTATTTTATTTTAGAGTTGTGGAGCATATGTGAACATTTGCTACCATAAGTAAATTGTTTACAGGTAAGATTTGAGCTTCTAGCAAGCTCTCTCCCCTTGGCAATGGAGATGGTATTCAGTGGGTAGTTGTGTGCCCCCAACCCCTCTCTCACCCTCCCTCGTTTAGCAGTGTCCAGCATTTGCTGTGCCCACCCTTATGCTAGTGTGTCTAATATTCAGGGCTTGCATATGAATGTGAATGTGCAGTATTCAGTTTTTTATTTCTGTATTAGTTCACTTACAATGGTGGTCTCCAGCTGCATCTGTGTTGCTGCAAAGGACATGATTTTTTCTTCTTTATGACTGTGTAATATTCCATCATGTACATGTACAACATTTTCTTTAATATGCCCATTGAAAGTAGGCTGGATTGGTTCCGTAGTCTTGCTATTGTGAATAGTGTTGCAGTGAACATATGTGTGCAGGTGTCTTTTTTACTTCTTCCTTTCTAATTGGGATGCCT